GGGGCTTTTTGGTGCGCTCGCCAACGTCCTTGAGGATGAGTCTTTGGGAACCACGCGTTCCCACCCGCCTTCACGGCGGCCAAGGTCTGCTACACCAAATCTCCCTACGGTGGATCTATCTCTCCTCTTCTGTGTTTTTGATGACGGAGCAGTTCCTCCCGACCATGCTGCTCCTCCTCCTCCTCGCCGCCGGGATTGAGGCTCACCCGGCGGGGCTCCGAATCCAACAAGGGCTACTAGCCAGCCAGGATGAGTCTTTCTGGGTATCTGCCTTCAAGAAGTATGGTCTGCAACTGCTGCAGTTCTGTCTCAACAGTTAAGGGTATGAGTTTGAAAATAGGCATACCAAGAAATATAATTTGAGAGAAAAGATTCTTTGGGAAACAGGAATGAACTTTGTCGTACATTTTAGACGCATTGTTCTAGCCCCGAACTCTACCAAGCCGAACTCAATTACCTATTCCAATTGTTTTCAAAAAACGGTTACCCCAGAGAATTTGTGCGTCGATGCATGAGACGATAAGAGTTAAAACAAAAAGAAAAGAAACGAGCATATTCCGATCAAGCACCCAATCCAAGAAGTTGGCGCACACTTCCATACATTAAAAACGGGTCTGAACTCGTTGAAAGACATCTGAAGAAGTACCAGATCCAAGTGGCGCACAAGCCAAGGATTACGCTTCAAAATCAGCTAGTACACGCTAAGGACAGAAAAGAGCTTGTTTACCAAATTCCTTGCGATGCAATTTATTGTGGACAAACAGGAAGGTCCGCCTCTACACGCATACATGAAGATCAGTTAGCGGTAAAGGGGCGCGACCACCTGTCCGAAGTCGCAATGCATTCGTTTGAAATTGGGCATAGGTTTGCATGGGACCAAACCCACATAGTAGGTTCCTGCCCATAGAAGAAAGACCGAGAATTTTCAGAAGCCACTTACTTTAACGAATCATGCATCAATAGACATGTTGATTTGGATTCAAGTTACATTAAAGGGTATATTAAGGGTGCTCCATAAATGTTATTTGCAGTCTTTTAAAGCCTATGGTGTGCTTCTGGCAGAACTTTTAAGCCGTCCGACGTGAGTAAAGGCGAGGCTCTGACCGAATGTAAAGTAAACATAATGTTGACACAAACGCCAGTACATTGGTGTGGGTTTCCTATCGCGCAGCACACGGAATACGGTATCTATCTCGAAAACGCTATGCTTGCTACAGAGCAAACTCGATGCCAGTGCATTTTCCGTTGCCATGACAACTGATCGTTCTCTGCCGCATAGCATGGTCTGCGTTAGGGTGAGCCGCCCTAACACGCACGCCTCTCTAT